CCAACTCAGAGAAGCCAACCACTTTAACGAGGTCAATATTTTCAATCTCATTCTTTCTTCTTCCTCTGCTGCTCTTTTTTCATAGCATGTATCACTACCAGATACTACATTTTACACTTTTTACATGTTTCGTGTGTGTTTCTTGCCCATCTCCCCTGGATGGACCTCAAAACAACAGGCACTTCCATCTTTTTTATTCTCTGATGACCCAGCGCCTGGAACATTGGCTGGTGTGTGTTTCTGACACCAATTTGAGGATGCAAGTCCAGGGAGGTGTGTGAAGGTTGGAGGGGCAGTGAGCCCCAGCCCTGCCCAGCTCTGTCTGTGACCCATTGGTCTCTTCCCTGAGCATGGTTTCCTTCTCTTTCTGCCATCACCCCATCACCCCTTAAGCGCAGGACGGGACAGTGAAACTTGCCCTTGGGAAGGGTTTCCAGCTACAGGCAGACCCTCCTCCTACTTCTCCCTCCCCTCCAAGCCTGTGGGGAGGCACAGCCACAGCAGATGTACCTTCCATGGAAAATCCTCAAAAGACAGAGGGCCTTAGGGGCAGAACATGCTGGATGTCCTGGGCCACCCTGCTCCCAGCCCCTGTGTCCTCACCTGGAAGGAGGTAAGTGATGAGAGTAGACCACCCTTGAAGTTCTATTGTACAGACAAGAAGACTGAGGCTCAGGGCAATGAATCTGGGCGGGGGGGGGGGTGTTCCCTCCTCTGTAAGAGGAGGATAATACCTCCTCCCTCCTAAGGTCGTTGGAGGATTAAATGAATTAAATAAAGCCTGTAAGCTCTCAGTGGTGTCTGGCACACAGTAGTGCTCAAGAAATGCTGGCTGCTACAGCAGTTGTCCTGCGAGGTGAATCCGTCCACAGCCAGGAGGTGGCAAAGTCAAGGTTCAAACCCAGGTCTGTAGGAATCTAAAGCGACTAGCCGCCTCACAACCCTGAAACAATGACAATAATAGTAATTGAAACAAGGACGACACCACCACCATTAATAGCCTTTTCCACCCCATAGGGTCGCTCCGGGGGTTAGAGCAGAAAGCTATCAGGGGACAGCACCTGCCCCGCAGCCACAGCCAGGGCCACGGGCGCCGAGTCTTCCTGTCCCCTGGCTCCCTCCGCAAGGACAGGTTGGCGGCCAGCAGGACCTCCCGCTGGGGGCGACCCCCCAATCCCGCAGCCTGGGGGGCCAAGCGGGGCCCCTGGGCTGCCCCAGGGAGCCCCCCGGGTGTGGGGGAGGCGAGCGCGGCCCTCGGGCTCTAGCAGGAGCAGCGCGGCCTGGAAGACATTACACGGCTGTCGGCCGGGGGGCGTCGCTCGGAGTTCCGGAGGGGGTCCCGGCGGCGGACGCGCCGGGCAAGGGGACGGCCCCGCCACAAAGCGCGCTTTGTTCTGCGCGCCCCCCCGGGAGCTGGAACCAATGGATTGGCGGCAGCTGAGGTCATCCGTCAGGCAGCGCCGGGGGTCAGGCCCGGGGAAGGGGCCGCGAGGGAGGGCCGGGCGGATGGCCGGCGGGGGTCCGTGTGTGCGGGCCGGCGGTTAACCGCTCTGGGGGCTGTCGCCGCGCCTCTTCGGCCTCAGTTTACCCATCCTTCCCAGACGGAAGATAATGTCTGCCCTGTCCACCTGTCGGGACCACCTTGTCAAGCGTGCAAGTCAGGATTCTGATGATGGCCTTTCTGAGATGAGCTCTCCCTACCTTCCTGCTCTGTGGGAACGCTGGGGTCTGGATGGGACCGCATGGGCAGAGCAGGCAAGCAGGCAAGCAACTATGGCTGTAAAAACGCATGCGTGCGGGAGGCAAGGATGAAGGCCTTGCAGCCTCTTCTGGCCCAGGGGAGTCAGGGCCTCTGCCTGCTTCCCCACTTTGACCCTGGATGCCAGACTGGGGCTCTCTGGCTTCTCAGGGCTGACAGGTGGAGCAGCCTAGCCCCTTAGAATCTTTCCCTGTCTCCCCCCAGTAAGTGTTTTTTCTGACTGGAGGCAGATTAGATCTGAACCCTTTTCTCTAACCCCACAAAGCTACATCCCACTTATTCATTCATTCACACCCCCAACCTGTGTGTGCTTCAGGGCTCCCGTACCTACCATTAGATAATTGGACTTTGAACATTCCATACAGGGTCTGCTGCGAAATGAGACAATCAAGTCCAAGGAGCCCCAGAAATGGCCCAATGTATTTGTGTGTCCCGGAGAAAGGGCTTGTGGCTTTTTCTGGATTCTCAACCATGTTTGTGACCCAAAAAAGGTTAAGAAGCACTGGCTGGAGTGCAGGGAAGGAAAGCAGCTCCTCCAAGCTCCGCTGGAGGAAAGCACCCCTGCAATAGGCACCCTGCAGAGCAATCTGCTTATACCTTAGAAGTCAGAATCTGAGCTATGGGTCAGCAGGCAGTCCCTTTCCCAGCGATACCGCTGAGAAAGAACTTGAGAGTGACATCAGAGGTTGTCTGCAGCAGCAAAACTGGAAAGCTCAAACTTCCATTAATAGGAGAGTGAGTAGGAAGAGTTGATATTCAGACCCTGGGATGCCACATATCAATTAAAAGAATGAGGGGTGCCTGGGTGGCTCAGTGGGTTAAGCCTCTGCCTTCAGCTCAAGTCATGATCTCAGGGTCCTGGGATCGAGCCCCACATCGGGCTCTCTGCTCGGCAGGGAGCCTGCTTCACCCTCTCTCTGCCTGCCTTTCTGCCTAGTTGTGATCTCTCTTTCCCTCTGTTAAATAAGAAAAATCTTAAAAAAAAAAAAAAAAAAAAAAAAGAATGAGCCACACCTCCATGGAACTTAGTCATCCAACCAATATTTATTGAACACTTACTATGTTTTGGGCGGTGGGCCTACAGTGATAAGACAGATCAAGTTTTGCCTGGAGAATATTTTCTAGCTGGTTAGATCGACAGAAACAGACACAAGATAATTTCAGAGAGTGTGATAAATGCCACAAAGAAAATAAAGCCGAGGAAGGTGACAGAATGATGGGGGAAGGAGACTGTTTAGACAGAATGGTCAGGGGAGGCCCCTCTGAGGAAGTGACCAGAATGAGGGAGACTCTGGGAGAAGAGCAAAGAGAGTTAATGGGGTGGACGGCAAATAGTGGCAAATAATGGAGTGAATGGCAGAGTGCCGGGGGGAGAAAGGCAATTTGCAAAATAATGTAAAAAAGAAAAGCATGCTTTATTGTACTCTACACACTACACTACTACAAAGTTAGAAAAAGGTCTGGAAGGGTATATGCCAAAGTCACGAAGGCAACTGTCCCAAATGTGGGGAGGGCAAAGGGACCACCAGGACTAGGACTCAGTGTGTTTCAGCTTGCCTCTCTTATTTTAATTTTTAATTATTTAGCATTTTAATATCTCAGTGTTTAAAAGGTGAATCACACACATCTAACTTGTGAAATTAAAAACCATTTTAAGTCTTCTGTGGTGACTGGGGGTGGGTTCCAGGGCAGCAAGGGGCCTAAGGGGTCCCTACACACTTTCACTGGACCTGAGTTCCTGGGGGCGGCGGGCAGTGGTTTGTCTGGGTAGGGGTCACACAGACTGGGAAGCCCAGAAGAGGCATGTGGCTTAGCCTGAAGTATCCAGAAGCTTGCAAGAGGTACAAGCTTTGCTGAACTTGAGACCATCTGGCTTAGGCCCTCCCCCCCACGGTGTAGACTAGAGGAGAGGCCATGATGTAAGACCACAGAGCAGTAGGGGACAGGGTAAATAGAACCTAAAACTCTCAGCCAGGTCTCCTCAAGCCTTTGGCTTCTCTGGGCTCCTGATGCACCTCCCTCGCAGCCAGGCCCTTCCCTCCACTCCTTTCCCCCAGAACTTGCTCTGCCGGCTGGAGGCCCCGCCCCGCTCTGGCCGGCCAGAAAGCAGCGCCACCTCCTGGCGCAAGAGAAAAATGCAGCTCCCAGCCTCCACCGAGAGCCATCAGCGGGTTTCAGAACACTGCTCCTCTTCGACGGGAAGAAATCAGAGAGGGAGACAAACCATGAGAGACTCTGAACTCTAAGAAACAAACAGGGTTGCTAGAGGGGAGGTGGGTGGGAGGATGGGGTAACTGGGTGATGGGCATTAACGAGGGCAATGACATGATGAGCTCTGGGTGGCATGTGTAACTGATGAAATCACCGAAATCTGCAACCGGCACTAACGACGTATTCTCTGTTGGCGAATTGAATTTAAATTTAAAAAACCATATAGGGGCGCCTGGGTGGCTCAGTGGGTTAAGCCTCTGGCTTCGGCTCAGGTCATGATCCCGGGATCCTGGGATCGAGCCCTGCAGGCTCTCTGCTCAGCAGGGAGTCTGCTTCCCTTCCTCTCTCTCTGCCTGCCTCTCTGCCTACTTGTTGTATCTGTCAAATAAATAAATAAAATCTTAAAAAAAAAACATATAATAATAAAAGAATGACCAATCCCTCCCACTTCAAGTCTGTTTCGCACCGCCCTCTCCCTGTCTAGATGCAGGCCCCAGTGCTGCCTGCTTGGGTCTTCCCTGTAAGAAGGAAAAGCTTTTTCAGGAAGGGGCGACCATTCTGGTACCCTAGACCTGTGGGTCAGGAGGAGGTAATCACTCACATGAACCAGTGGCATCTCGTGACGGCAGTTTACAAAACCTGCCCTCAGCTTCCTGACCCTTGGTACAAATCTCAGGGGTAGACAGTCCATTTGACAGCTTGGAAAAAACCTCCAGGGAGGGGCTTGTCCAATGTCCTACAACGAACAGGTGGGTGCACAAGCTAATCCTGTAACATGGGCTAATCCTGTAACTCAGCCCAATATGGGTGGAGGGGGTGTCACCATATTTGAAAATCATGGCCTCAGTCTGCATTGTGGTTCCTGGACAGCAGCAGCAGGAGCAGCTCCGGAAACTCCTTAGAAGAGCAAATCCACAAGCCCCACTCTGGACCTGCTAAATTAGAGACTCTGGGGGTAGGGCCCAGCCGTCCGTGTTTTAGCAAACCTGTTTGAGAACCTAAACCGGCAGTCTGAAGCAATTACACTCCCTCATTTTTATTAAATAAGCTTTTATTTGGGAGTGATTTTTGATCTACAGAAAAGTTGCGAAGAGAGTAAAGAGTGCAAATTCTGCACCCAGCCTACCCCACCATCGCTTTACCTTTTACATGTACGTTTGTCAAAATGAAGAGACTGACATTTTTATGTTATTATTAAGTAAAATCCAGACCTTATTCAGATCTCCAGTTTTCCCAACGATGTCCTGGATATAACGCTGCATTTAGGACTACATTCATTTACATTAAATTGGTCACCTCAGTCATCTTTCCCTGGGACAGAAAATGGGTGGGAAAGCTGTTGTCTTGGTTACTAAGCTGGGGAAACGGAGGCTTGGAAAACATCCAGGGACGGAGGTCCCTTAGCAGGACAGTGAGAGCAAGGCCTGTGTCACTTTGCACCCTCCCTGTCACTCTTCCCTTCACCCAGGACTCTTGTTTCCAGAAACCCCTTTGGAATGTCTCATCTGGCCTACCCCTATCTCACCACACAGACCATGACAGATGCCCCTGGTAGAGCCCAGGCCCGGCTCTGGGAGAGATCCACCTGCCCCATCACCTCCTCCTGTAGATTTAAGGGCCAGGACAATGTCTTAGTGACTTCAGCTCAGTCAGATCAAGGCCCGGAGCAAAAAGAGAGAAACGGTATTTTGCCTCTATGCAACCATTTGTGATTGATGAAAAAATGCCACCAATTCTCTGTGGTTTCTCCCAGTAAGAGGTGGTTTTGCCGCCCCTTGAATCCAGGCCAGCTGTATGATTTGCTCTGATCAAAAGAACTTTGCAAGGGATGTTGTACCAATTCTGGGCCTAGGACTCAAGAAACCTTGCAGCTTCTACTTTTTCTCTCGTGATATTCTGAAGCCATGTCTATAAGCCTGAGTAAACCTGCTGGAGAGACTGCATGGACAAGGACCAAGTCACCCAGCCTTAGGCCTGCCAAATGCCAGACAAGCGAGTGGGGCCACCTTAGACCATCCAGCCCTATCCGAGGTAACAGCTGAGTGCATGCAGCCTTGGGAGTGACACTGGGCAGAACCAGCACAACTGTCCCAGTGTGCCCAGGCCAAATTGCAAACCCATAGAACTGTAGGCAAATGAATGACGTGCCGTTAGTGGTCACGTCTGGAGATGGTCTGTTACACAGCAAAGACTAACCGGTACACAATTCCTTCTCTCTCTTTTGGTAGTGGGATTCCAATTTTATTTTAGGAAGTGGTGTGTCAGTCCCAGGAGATGAATGGTCTACTAATTATAACAATTCTGTTCCCTACCACCTTAGCTTTCTTTGCAGCCAGGGGTGGCAATAACTGGTTTGGGCCAAGGAGACCTAAGTAGAAATATGCAGGGGGACAGAACAGGAAATAGCTCTTTTGAGAAAGGACTGACTTCATGATAGAAGTCGACAGCTGGCTTGGCCATTCTCCCCCCCAGTCCCCACACCTTTCTTCCTTGAACACATCCAGGATTCCTGGAGGCATAGCAGCCATCTTTGACCATGAAGTAACAAGCAACGAGGGGAAGGCCAAAAAGAATCAGAGATATGAGCCCTGCCTTCGCTGGTGGTGCGGAACCAATACCACCTGTCTCCAGAATTCTCTTTGTTTAAGCCACTGTAACCTAGGCTTTCCCTTACTTGTGGCTGAACGTGTTCCACATAATGGGAAATACACGGATGAAAACATAGGAGCCTTGTCCTTGGGAATCTGGAGCCAGGAACAGGTGGCTCTCCAAACCCAACTTCTTTTCCTTTTCATTCTCTCAAGAATACCTCGAGGGCAAAGACAGGACCCCATTTCCACAGCAGTGGGATCTGGGGCTCCCACATGGTTCAGGAACGAGTCCAAGGTCTTGCAGCTCGTGAAACAGGTGCTCAGAGTCATACCTCCCCCTGGGCACAGAGAAGGCGCCCCTGACTGCTTCCTGCATGGTCCAGCCCCCCCAGAGGCTGGGTGTGTCTTCTGGGCTCTTAGGAGTGTTGGGTGGTGCCTAGGAGGCTGCTATTGTAAGTCCGGGGTAGATGCGCCCAGGTACACCCTGAGGTCCGAGAGGGTGGACTGGACAAGTTTGGCAGGGATGGTCTCTCGCTGCAGCTGCTGGTAGGCTGCATAGCGGTGGCAGCCCCCGAAGGAGTAGAAGTAGTCACCGCCCTGGGCCCCTTTGATCCAGAGGACGTCAATAGGGGGGACACTGTCTGGATCCTCCTGGAGAAGAGGGCACAGTGTCAGTGAGCACGGCACAAGGCTTGGCAGTTTGTGACGCAGACTCCGTTAACCTGCGCTGAGCTCCTACAGGGTATTTGCCAGCTCCCGCTGGCTTGTGAGAGGCAACTGTTAAATATTCAGGAATTTTGTGTGCTGGTTTTCATCAACTCGGTAGCTTGAAAATCAGCCATGGTGATTTACATCAGGGAAATGAGCAGATGCTACCAATCAGGGCTTTTTTTCCCCCTAGAGACCAGGTTGTTAAACATTTATCAGTTTATTATTATACCATATACACACTATCTGTTTGGCCTTGTTCTAGACTCTGGGAACAAAGCAGAGGCAGAATGGGAAAGACACAGCCCCTGCCTTCATGGGACTCCGGTCCAGTGGGGCAGATGGAATGAAAAGAGTGAGAGTTGGAGTGATCTATGCTATGAGGACAGTGACACAGGCTGATGGGCCAGGGATGGGGGTCCATGAGGCCTCTCTGAGGTGACAAGGAAGCAGAGACCGAACGCAGAGGAGTCGGCCTGGGAAGAGAGACAGGTGGAATGTTTAGAGTCAGACCCCGACTGCCTAGGTTCAAATCTCAGGTCTGCTACTTAACTGGTACGTGATCTTTGACAATGAATCTCTGTGCCTCTGCTGCCCCGTCTATCAAATAGGGACGAAGACAGGAGACCCACCTCATAGAGCTGTTGAGTTACATGAACTAACATATGTAAAGCACTCTGAACAACGCTTGGCACATGGAAAGTGCTCAATAATGTATGCTCTGCACTACCGGAGGGAACAGCATTCCAGGCAGAGGGAAGAGCAAATGCGAAAGACCTGAGGCCAGAACAAGTTCACCACGCCGGAGGCAGGGCAAGGAGGCCACTGTGATCACACTGGACTCGAGGTTGAGGAGTGTAAGAGGTCAGAAACGTCAGCAGGAGCCACGCTGTGCAGGTTGGTTTCTAAGAGCAGTGGGTTGGCCCTGGAGTGTTTTAAACAGTGAAAAGGTGACATGATTTGATGACCCTTCTAGAAAGGTGTCATGAGAGAGCAGTTTGATGGGATGGACAAAGGGGAAACCAAGGTGAGGCCTTCGAAGGTATCCGGCAGAAGATGCTGGTCCTGGATGAGGATGTGGACAGGACGGGGAGAGGCAGACAGGTTCGGAACATGGTGGCAACTCTGAGAAGACTGGCAGAAAGGCTGAATGTGAGAAGAGAAAGAAGAGAATCTAGGCTGACTTCCTGTCAGGGGCCTAAGCAGCCAGGTACAGGGTGGGTAAAGCCTGAGGTAGGGCGGGGTAGGGGATGGAGCACAGTGGGGAGACCACATTAGGCGAGAGCTGCCTAGAAGGCTTCCCTCCACTGGCCCATGGGTTCGCTTTTTTTTTTTTTTTCTTCAAGATTTTATTTATTTGACAGAGAGAAAGAGATCACAAGTGGGCAGAGAGGCAGGCAGAGACAGAGAGGGGGAAGCAGGCTCCCTGCTGAGCAGAGAGCCCAATGCAGGGCTCGATCCCAGGACCCTGAGATCATGACTTGAGCCGAAGGCAAAGGCTTAACCCACTGAGCCACCAGGCAGCCCCCTCCCGGGGTTCTCTTTTATTATGCTTATTTGATGGATTCATTTATCCATTTATTCCAGAAATGATGAGTAAACAGTAAGGCCCAGTAGGGACAGGAGGGTACTCTGGACCCCAAAACACCCGCATCTAAATTTCAGCTCCTCCGCTGAGCCACGGGACACCCAGAGCAAATGGGCTCAGCGCTCTGAGCACCACTCCTCATCTGCAAAATAGGTGCGGATGCTCGATGGGGCTGCAGGTGAAGAGTCACGGAGCTGATGCCTGTGAGGTGCAGAGCACAGCCTGTCCGGCAGCGGGGTATGAACAAGGGGCCGGTGCTGGACAGGCCTTGTGCTGGGCACCAGGGGGACAGTGGTGGGTGGGTGGAGTCATGGCCCCCCCAAAATGTCCACATCCTAATCCCTGGAGCCTGGGAAGGTAAAGGGGACTTTGCAGATGGAATGAAGTTAAGGTTCTGAGATGGAGAGATTATTCTGGGCTGAATGTAATCACTGGCATCCCTGAAAATGGAAAAGGCAAAAGAGGAGGTCTGATGTCGCTGGCTTTGAAGATGGGGGAAAGAAGCCATGAGCCAAAGAACTAGAAGCTGGGAAAGGTAAGGAAAGGGATTCTCCCCAAAAGCCTCCAGAAGGAATGCGGCCCATGCTGACACCTTGATGTTAGCCCCCTGAGACACATTTTGGACTTCTGAATTATAGAATTATGAACTAATACATTTGTATTGTTTTAAGCCACTGGTTCCTGGTAATTTGTTACAGTTGCCATAGAAAATGAATACATATGGTTAAGCAAAGGCAGGCTTGGTTCTTGCCCTCACCTGGCATATGGTTCAAGCATGGAAGACAGGTGTCTAAACAGGCCATTCAAACCCAGTGGGATCAGAGCTGTGCTGGGGAGCATGCAGGTGTCTAACCCGGTAGGGGGCGTCAGGGAAGACACTGACACTGGACAGCAAGACCAAGAAGGAGTTAGAAACAGTAAAGAAGAGATGGAAGAGTTCCTGGCAGGGCGGGTGGCAGAAGCCTGTGCAAAGGCTCAGGGGTGGATCCTCCAGGAAAAGCCAGACATCACGCTAGTCAGTGCTGAGGAAACAGCCAGGATATGACCAAAGTCCCTGCTCTTGTGCAGCAGACCTGAGGTGGGGAGGACAGACAATAAAACACAAATCTATAGGTCAGGTGGACAGAAGTGCTTTATGGAGAAATAGCTCGGGTTCAAGGGGAAATCTTGAGAGGCCAGGACAGTGTTAGCAAGGGCAGAGAGGGGGCAGAGGCCTGAACCAAGAGAGCGAGCAGGCCCTGTGGCTATCTGGGGCAGCAGTTCCTCGCAAAAGGTACAGTGGTACAAACCCTAGGGCTGAACACCATTCTGGGGAGCTGCAGAGGGGTCCGGAGGGGACTTGGGAGTCTCACGGAGCCACCAAGGGTCTGATGGGGAAAGGTGACGTGATCCCATGCAGGCCTAAGCGGACACACGTTCTTTTCCCCCATAAAGTTCCTGCCAGGATCACTTCCCCATTCTTCAACACCCTCCCTCAATGATGAGGCTGACCCCTGTCCTTTCCCAGGTCCCGTTCCAGCAAGTGCCTCCCAGCAGGCATGACATGTCCAGTCCCACTGCCACGAACTGTGACTGCCAGAAATGACAGCACGGCTTAACTCCAGAGTGTGGTGGCCATGCAGCTGGGCGCTGGAGCCACTCTGCCACTTTCAAACTACCTAACCTTGGACAAGTTACTTAAAGGAAAAAAACAAAACAAAACAAAAAAACCCTCCCGTGCCTCAGTTTCCTCGTCTGTGAAAGAGGGGTAGTAGTAGCATCTACCTCACAGGGCTGGCATGAAGCTTAGGCACTTGAAACAGCTCCTGGGCACTGCAAGGTCTATCTTTATAAATAGAGTTAGCGATCGTTTTTTAAATTATCTCCACCAATCTCCTGCCAGTCCAATAGAGGAAACAGAGGTCCAGAGAAGACCAGCCCCTTGCTCAAGGTCACAGAGCAAATGCCGGGCTCCGGCGCAGCGCCTGGAACCAGTGCGGTCTCGCGTCCAGTGTGACCTCCCTCCTGCGGAGCCCTCCCTCCAGCCCGCCTCCCGGGGCCTCACCCGGATCGTGTCCACGAGGCTCTGCACCTTGGCCGGGTCCAGCACGGACTGCAGCGGCCGGATGAGCACGCTCAGCGGCACATTGTGCACCGCGGCGATGCAGCCCGAATGGATGCTGCCGCCCTGCGAGCTGCCGCTGGGCCCGGATCCCCCAGGCGCCCCTCGGCCGATCCCGGCCCCGGCCCCGGCCCTGCCCAGTGCTCCTCCCGCGCGCAGCCCCATGGCTCCTCCGCCGCCAGCTGCCGCCGCCGCCGCCGCGCCGCCCGCGAGCTTTAACGCGGGCCGGGCCGTACCACTCCGCGCAGGCGGCGGGGGCGGCAGCCGGGGCGAGCGCGCGTCTCCTCCACCCGGGAGTGGTCCGGCCCCGCGCTCCCCGCGGCCTGCGCGGGGCGGCCCGCGCGGGACTCGGGCTGTCCGCCTGGGGGCGCCCCGCAGCCTCCCCTCCACCGCGCCGCGTCCCGCAGTGGAAGCGCCCGGCGGGCTGACTCAGGGTGAGTCCGCAGGTTGTGGGGCGGGAGGGGCGCGGCTGACGCGGAGGCCCTGGTGACTCAGGCCCCCGGCGGGGGCGGGGGCGGGGACGAGGGGGGGGGGCGGGGAGGGGCGGCCGGACCTGCCCAGCGAGGATGAGTTGGCAAAACCCGCGGTGCTCGGCTGCCCCGGCCGTCCGTCGGAACAGTAGCTGGAAGAGCCAAGGAGGTGATTTAAAACTACGATTCTGTGTTGTCAGGCGCTGTTCGGAAGCCTTTGTGTGTATATTAACTTATTTCAGTCTCCAAACAACCCCGCGAGATAAGTGTGATTATTATTACCCTTTTACAGATTGGAAGACTGAGGCACAGTGAGCTTTAAGTGATTCACCCAAGGTCACGGAGCTAATAAGTGGCTGAGCCAGGCAGGGTTCAAATTCAGGGTGTCTCACTTCAAAGTACATTCTGTACCTCACTGCTGGCTGCCTCTTTTCAGCCAAAGTGACTGTCACAGGGAGCCTTCTGGAATGCTGCTGACAATGTGTGGGCACAGCCCTAAACATGCACACATCGCATCCTCGTAGCACCACTAAGACGGAGGTTTTAGGGACAGAATTATTTAACTGCTTGTCCAAGGTAGGGCAGCTGAAAATGAAAGCCATCTGAGCCTGTAACCCAGCCTACAGATGTGGACACTGAGGCTGCGGAGTGGGTGGGGTGGGGTGGGTGGTGGTGCCTTGGGTCCAGATATACTGAGTGCCAGCCCCAGTCTCTCCCATTCAAAGTCCTCTGAGGCCGGGGTTCAGCACCCAGCGTCCTCTGGGGCCAAGGGGAGGTAGGCAGAGGCTCCTGGTTTAAATTCCATGTGTTTATCAGCATCTATGGCAACATTAGGACTTTGGCACAGATTTGCCAGGGTTTGGATCCCATTTGGCCACTTCCTAGCTGTGTGGTCTCAGGCAAGTTGCTTAACCTCTCTGAGCCTCAGCGTTCTCTTCTGTTAAGAAGGTGTGGGGAGATGGTGGAACATTTGGAGATAATGGCTGATGGAGGGCAGAGTGGGGGACAAATCCGTGCTTCCAAGACCAGTAACCAAGGAAAGTGACTGGTTTTATCATGAACACCCAGAGTGCTGAAGGAGAGGCCCTTTTTGACTGAGAGCCTGAGGAAACACTCCCTGGGGAGAGGGATTCAAATTGGAAAGTGGCTTGGTCCTGGAAAGGGAGAGGAAAGAAGCAGGTGTAGGCTTTGGAGTCGCTTAAATGGCATGGATTTGAATCCTGACTCCACCACCTACTAAATCATGTGACTTGAGAGGGTGTGCGTGTGTTTGTGTGTGCGCGTGTGGGGGGGGTAACTCACCTTCTCTTGCCTCAGTTTCTTCTCTGGATTGCCAGGGGGAGTAAATGAGAGTAACACACTTAGGGTTTAGAAAGGTACGTGGCACTTGGTTAGTGTTGAATGGAAGGTAGACATGAAGGACGTTCCAGACACAAGCACAGCTTGAACAAAGGCAAGGAGGTTGGACAGCATCATACCTGGTTGAAAACAGGCATATCTGGTAAATATAGGTTTATTTGGTTTGGTTTTCCTCCTCTTCACCCTGGTTGGCATCTGCATGGGAATGCCTGTCACCCTCTTAGCTGGAGAAAGCCAGAGATGGTACCCACTGTCGGGAGGGGAGGCTGCGACATGGGCTAGTTACTGATACTTTCCATACCTGAACTCATAACCCTTTCTGATGAGCAATACTACCTGTCACCCAAAGTCGGTATGGGTGTGAATTGTGAAGGTTTGTATAAGTGCTCCGTGCTTTGTATAATGTCCCATCTGCCATTGTAGGCGGTAGGTTCTTAGTTTTTCATCCTCTGTGTTTTCGATTTTAATCCTAGAGCTTGCCCCCTTGCAGTCCCAAGATGGCTGCTGTAGCACTGAGCATCACATCGCTGTACAACAACGTTCGGAGCAGAACTTAGGACATCCCTTTGTGCTTCTTTTTAAGAGTGAAGAAAGCTTAACCAATTATCCTTTACCCCTCCACTCCCCTTGCCAAGGATCATTTTGAGCATGGATAGGTGATATAATTCTTGCCAAAGAGATATGAGTAAAAGGCTCTTGGGCAGGGAGTGGAATAAACATAATTGACTTAGGTTAGTTGGCACTAACTTCTGTGCTCAGGAGGGTCTATTGTCCCCTGAAGTTCATGGCCCCTGATTGCTGAGCAGAACTAGCAAGGTCTGGGGGTGCCTGGGTGGCCCAGTCAGTTAAGCATCCAACTCTTGATTTTGGCTCAGGTCATGATCTCAGGATCATGAGATCCAGCCCCTGGGAGCAGGCAGGCTCTCCACACTCAGTGGGGAGTCTGCTTGGGATTCTCTCTCTCTCTCTCCCTCTGTCCCTCCCCTTGCACATTCATGCAAACAAATCTTACAAATCTTACAAATTTCTTCTTCTTACAAATCTTCTTACAAATTTCAAACAAATCTTAAACAAACAAAAAATAAAAAAAAAAAAACAACCCCAAACCCAAAAACACCCTGCCCCAAAGCTAACTGTAGCCTAGTTTTCCTGTGGGGAACCTTCTTTCCCCACTCTCAGAACTCTGTTGGGGGGCAGTTGCCCTGGTGGTGTAGATGGAGGAGAGAGGATCTGGCCAGACCTGCCCAATCAGCAGTTCCTTTATACTGGCCCATCTGTCCTTTCACCAATGATGGAGACAAGCCTCTCCCTGGAGGTAAGATGAAGGACCTTCCACGGGGGCCAATGGAAGCCTGGAACTGGAAGTTGGAGAGGTTCTGACATCTATGCAATATCCTTGTGTTTTCATTTGGATTCTCCCAAAAGTAGACGCAGAGACAGGGACTGTGTGCAGGTAGTTTATTTGGAGAAAGTTCCAGTTATTACTGCTGTAGAACCAACCACTCCAAAATGTAGAGGCATAAAATAATCACTTTATCCCCCCAGAGTCTGTGGGTCAAGAATTCAGACAGAGCACAGTGGGGACAGCTTGTCTCTTCTCCACAATGTCTGGGCCATCATCCAGGTGACTCAACAGTGGGGAGTGACTTGATGGCCGGAGCTGGAAGCATCTGGAGGTGACTTCCGTTACCTATCTGTTGCTGGTACTGCCTGGTCGGTAGGTGTAGGGACGCCCACATGTGGCCTCTCCATGTGGCCTGGGCTTCCACATAGCATGGCGGCTGGCTTCTAAGAGTGAGTGTCCTAAGAGAACCTGGCAGAAACTTCATGGCCTTTTCCAGTCTCGTCTTAGAAGTCATATAGCATCATTTCTGCAGTGTTCTATTTGAGGGAGCTGTCACAAGTGTTCCCCCCACCCCCCGGCTTAAGGGAAGGGGACAGAAACTCCGTCTCTTGATGGAAGGAATAGCAAGGTTCTAAAAGAGCTTGTGGGTGGGAGGTGTTGTTGTGGCCATCTTTGGAACACACATCACTGTAGGAGGCGATGTCAGGAAGTACTGGGGAAGGGAGAAATGCCAATAAAGGGTACACTGATGAGCAGGTTAACGTGGTGGGCAAGTGGGGCTCACTCCTGCTAGGGCTTCTCTGAAGAAGCATTATGCATCGTGCATCAGAATTGTCCCCCCGAGGGACAGGGGCTGGGTATATATTCACTGACTCCTGTCCTTCATTGGTGGAGGGTGGCCTGAGTTGTTACACTTCCCCCTCGACTGGCTGCTCTGTGCTCAAACTAAGGCATCATCTGAGGACCCAGAAGATGAAGCTGCCTGCTTTCAGTGTGAACTCAGAGGTGGTCCAAGGGAATTAGGGGCAGGACATCAATAAATTCCTTTTCTGTCCACACCAGCCAGAGTCCAGGTTTGTTGTCTGCAGCTAAAGTCCCTGACTACCTGCTCTCCCCATCCTGCCCCTGGGCTCTCTACTCCTCCCCTTTCATTTTTGACAAAGAATTTCATTCAGCAGGCATTTGGGTCTACGGACGACTTTTCTGAGTGTTTGGGAAGAGGAAAGGATTTCTGTGCCATAAAAGGAACATTACACAGTGCCTGGGTGGCTCAGTGGGTTAATGCCTCTGCCTTCAGCTCAGGTCATGATCCCGGAGTCCTGGGACTGAGCCCTGCATCAGGTTCTCTGCTCTGCAGCGAGCCTGCTTCTCTTCCTCTCTCTCTGCTTGCCTCTCTGCCTACTTGTGATCTCTGTCTGTTGAATAAATAATAAATAAAATCTTAAAAAAAAAAAGGAACATTACATTTTAGATTCCCCCACCCCTGAAATACTCTTGTCCATTTCTACGTCCAGGATCCTGCCATGTTGCTTGGTCCATTCTCTCTTTCTGTTTTCCTCTTCATCTTCTCTTTGTCATTTCTACCAACCCTTGAGTTTCTTGTTCTTATTTTAGACAGAAACTTTGCCTCTGTCCTCTGCAGCTTCAGTGCCTGCTGAAGAAACCCCCTCTCCGTGGGGTCTTGAGGCAGCTTCACACCTCAACTGCTTCTCCTTGTCACAAGATGACTGCCGGCGCCAACCGCGGCAACCTCCTTCCCCGCTTATGTCTTAGCTTGGGGCATTATACCAAAATACCATAGACTGGGGTTGCTTACACAATAAACATTTATTTTCCACAGTCTTGGGGGCCGGAAGTCCGAGATCAAGGAGTGGTGAACCTCTTCCTGGTTCACAGACTGCTGTCTTCTTGCTGCTCTCCTGTGGGGGCAGGTCGAGGAGCTCTCTGGGCTCTCTGCCTGTAGGGACACTCATCACATTCATGAGGGCCCTGCCTCCCACCTCCACATGCCATCGCACTGAGGATTAGGCTTCCACATGTGAATTTTAGGGGGACACAATCTCAGTCCAGAGCAGTTCACATCCAGAAGAGAGACCCCCACCCACTTCCTTCCAGCAATGATGGAATTAAAGCTTTTCTCTCCAGTCTGATTGGGATCACTTGAGTCAGGGTTAATTATGTTCTCCAGGGACAGGCCGTGTCTGAGCTGTTTAAGCATGGGTGCTGGAGCCTGTCACCCACTGGGATGACGACTGGGGTT